CCATACCCAACACAGATACACAAGTCCCATATGTAATTGTAAGTGATGAGGCATTTCCTCTAAAACCTTACTTGATGCGACCTTATCCAGGGGACAAATTAGATGACCGAAAGTGCAACTTCAATTACCGTTTGAGYCGTGCCAGGAGGACATCAGAAAATACATTCGGTATACTTACGCAAAAATTTAGACTCTACAATAGACGAATTCAGGCATTTCCAAAACATGTAGATTACATCATTTTGGCCACTTGTTTACTACATAATTTTATTAAAAAATACGATTTGTATACGTACAATTACGTAACTCAACAAGCGGATAGAAGTAACGGTMATACACTACAACATTTAAATTTKCAAGGAGGGAACGCAACGACAGACGCATTTCGTGTTAGGGAAGTATTCACTGAATACTTTAATTCTGAGTTTGGGTCTCTACCTTGGATATAAAATAATTTAATTTAAGAAAATAATGTATGAAATAAAAGGACGATTTAAAAATATTATTCGTATTATTATAAAAATATGTTATAAGTTATAAGTTTATAATTAAGACCATATTCTATATTTTATATTTATTATTAATAATAATAACATAATTGATAATGTATTTGATGTACCTATTTCTTATAATATAATATGTATTTAAACATGATATAATGTGTACATAATATAATATTTATATAAATAAATAATGTATTTCTTACCAGTTGTTTCCATTTCTTCTGCTATTTTACTCCAAATAGTATTCTTGTAATCTGTGTCCATGTACTTTGCATGAGATAAATCATACAATACGGGATATTTCCGCACTAATTCAATAAGTTTTTCGTCGTTCATTTTTACAAAAATTGAGAGAGTCAATGAATTACAACAAAATTCACTGCCATGAAATATGAAAAATATCGTCGGCAAGTAATCGCAAATTCACGGTACGACGACGGCGACAACACTGTTTTCGTCGGTACAGTCACGCGCCGGACGAGTGAGAACATCATGCTTATCTTTCCTTTAAGAATATTATTAACCTCGCCGGGGGAATCCCGGAACGGTCACGGCACTGTCACGTCACTGCTGTGTGTAAATAGACCTTTAATTATAAACTAGGGAGTAAGGACGTATATGTAAAGTAATTTTGACAACCCCATCCCTTTGAATTCCAGAAAACCACAGTCAAAGAATTTAATATTATCTACTATTAATGATGTCATTAGTTTCATAATTATATAAAGCATTGGAGGATGGGTGATTACCGTTTATCTTTCATTTAATTTATTAAAGTTATTTTAAAAATAGTGGAATGCATAGATAATAAAGGTATGGATAGAACATAACGATCTTATCAGCGATTATTAAGAAGTACAATTAAGCCCAAATAAGTATATTTATATGATTATCAACTATCTATAAAAACATTGATAAGATGGCCTCAATYGCCTTTTCTTCCGGGAACGCTGCCTCATATATATTTAACATAGCCGTAGCCTACCCATATCTTAATTATTTATGGTAGCATGTGAGATTTTTTCTAACAACGCACACGCTCCTCACATATGTCGTTGTTGGGTTAACGTGTTCAACAGTGTGTGAGGACAGTGTGTCCTCCTACCGAATCCTTTGGACAACGAGATAATGTTTGTCGGTTGGTAAATACCGTTTGACTTGTCCGATCACATTCGTGATTCATCAGTAATCCGTACTGCTCGTTGATCGTTCCATGGTTTCTGTTAAAACTACCCATCACCACCACTGCTACTGATAACACCGTTCGTCGAATAATAGGCAAAATAATTATAATTTTATATAAAATTTGACAGTTAGCACTGCAGCTGATTTTTATTTATATATATATAGTTTAATTGAATAATATATTTTGAAGGGGAAAAATAAACGGACCGTAAGCAACCCTTGACACAACCCTGATACTTCAAAGATGGCAAACACAGGTAATAATTTTGAATCCGACGATAATTGCGCATATTATATAGTTTTGATTATATTTAAACATTCTTTCTTTTTTTTTTTAATGACAACCTATAATAACTTTGTGACAATAATTGAATCCTTATTAATATGTGTACAATTTTAACATTTGATTTTTCTATTTAATATGCTCAACAATTTTCGAAAATTAAAAATAAATTATCACACTTGTATCTGAATTGTTATATGTTATACAACAGATTAAAAATGTACTTAAATATAAAACTTTGGGTCCTAAATGAAAATTGTCAAATTTACCCAGTTCCCAGTCATGCTGCCTAAATTGTATTATTAAATCTGTCTATATAATATATATAATATATTAATATAAAATTTTATACCTAAAATTCATTTTATTTAAAAAATGATATAAAGTTTAAAAACAACAAAAGTGAGCCCATCAATCCATATTCCTATAATTTATAACGCTTCATTAGCGTGAYGTTATCTCCAAAGTATGGCTAAATTATAAGCTTTTCTTATGTTCCAGTTTGTAGTTTAAGATGTAATTATACGATTAGTTTTAAATTTTGTTCATATTATTTGTTGTGTAGAATRATCGTAGATAATAGTCTTTAACAAGACTGTACTGCATGGAACCTAACACAGTACCTGGATTTTTGACATTGTAATCCATAATAGCACATTAACCCTAATAGGAAGGGTAGTTGTAGGGTACCTAACCATAACGACGATGTTCTTGATTTGGTCATTAACCGTACTTGACTTTAAAACATCAGCATTCAGGCATCCTACATGATCTCCGACTCAGAAACCTAATATAAACCTTTATTATAGTACCTTAATATCTTAATTGAATTAACTTGTTGAGGAYTTATTTTCCGCTAAACATGAGGCATACAACATATTGTTAATCAAAAATATAATTTTTATTTTTAATATATTATACTAGTTACTCGTAGATCTTATTCCAAAAGAACGGAGCATAGTGGTAGCTCCCATGGTGAATGTTGATAACGCTGATAGTACTGTTCCACATTTCTTCGTTGGTAGAATTTCTAAATAATAATTGGACATAATAMAATTAATTGATTTTTAGTGAGAATGGTTTCCAGCAAAAGTGTAAAAATCTAAACAATGTTGATTAAACTTATGTTACCTATAATTTTATTATATTAAARCATAATTTTAAAATTAAATTACAGTTAAAAATGAAGGGTATGATKCTGAAATCAATGCAATAGCTYTTGAACTGAAAAAGAAGTATCAAAAAACTTCTACAATGACAATATCTGCTATTGTACCAGATAAAGCTGATCATACACAAAAAAATAGTCAACAACAAATATCTGAATGTTCCGAAGATGCAGAAAGCATTAAAGGTAAATKATCAGGAATTATATTTACGCTTTAAAGCTTTATATAAAGACAATTTATATTTTACGATCTTTTGTACAATATAGGTATGTTTATTTGGAAATCGATTGGAGAATTCGTCATACCRTGTGTCTTTCGTGTRATTAAAGGTGAACATGTAATGTTCATAGCAACTCGTGTGGCTGAGTACCAGTTACTCAGTATTTATTTAAAACATTTACATGCAGATATACTTAGATGCACATCARTGAAATGGTATTTTATTACTATTTCAGAAGCTAATCTATTGAATGAAATAAATGTAAAATATATTGATTTTATGTATGGGAAAGAAAGTTTTRTGGCGGGTCAAGATATAATTGTCCGTCTCGAAGATGTTGTTGCATTTCTTACGTTTGTCGAAATAAGTTACAATAAGCTCTTGAGTAAACAGAATTATGGAAACGAAAAAAAAAGTGGCTTTATTAAAATTGACTCAGAATCAGTTGTACTATATTGTATAAAAAATATTCAAATGTACGTTCCCATATTCTTCTTTGAAGGGCAAGTAGCAAACCTATTACAACAGTCCATTGAGATAAGTGGATGGGAATTTGCGCATTTYAAGTTCTGTTGTCTAGTTCTGGGAATTAAGGAAGAATTATTCTCAAATGATAGTTGCCTGATGACAAACATMATTAATGTGAAAGAATTTTATCCACCAGGGATCGAGTTTAAAGAATTTTGGCCAGACCAGAGGCTGTATTCTCATCTTATCAGCCAAAATGGTTCTTTTATGCATACTAATTTGCCAAATGCTTGGCTCGGTCCCAGATAGCATTTTCCTAATGTTAATATTTAATTAATAACATTTGTTCATTATTAATGTTACATTATGAAAAAAATGATAATACAAYATCAAATAGTAGTTTTACGAAATAATAATTTGGATATATTAATTATATGATATCATTAACCAAATAATTAAATAATATTCTGAATATATTATTAAAATGTT